TCAGTTTATCAAACCAACTTTTGATCCGACTCCAGTCGGTTACTATGTTATATTACCGTTTTATTTGTTAAACTAAAATAACGGTTTTTCATATAAAGTCATGTTTTACGGTAGCACTCTGAATCAGTATTTCGCATTTTAAAATGATTTATTTTGAAAAGTTTTGCGAAAAATGCACTTTGATTTTCATGAAATAGTGGGGTGTTACAATCAGGGAGCATAGAATCTGATTGTAGCCAGAATAAGCGTACATGAAGCTCATCAACTCATGTCCAAAGGTAGCATCTACCATGTAATCAATGTGTGGAATAGGATAGCTATCCTTTGGACAAGCTTTATTTAAATCTGAGAAGTCGATGCACAGATGCCGTAGACCGTTGTTTTTCTTGACTAACACAGGGTTTGATATCCATGTCGAATACTTTGCTTCTTTAATGAATTTATTTTCGATGCGTTGTTTACTTCTTCCTCTAAGGCCTTTTGACGGTCAGGGCTAAACTTTCGCCACTTTTGAATGTTTGGCTTGTCGGTTCTGTCAACATTGAGTCGATGACAAGATTTTTCGGGGTCAATTCCTTCCATATCCTCGTGCTTCCATACAAATACATTGAAATTAGATTGAAAGAATTGAATTAATGGGGTATGCACCGGCTCTTTGAGATTGGCACCAATGCAAAGGGGTTTCATTCGAGTCGGTCCATCGGTGAAGATGATTTCGACATCTTCAACTGGTTCTGCATGTATGTTTTGACTTTTTTCTTTGAATTGTGTCCTTGGATCCAGATCGTCTTCATTTCGGCCTATTTCTTTACCAGGACACTGTCCTCGGTCTTCAATGAACTCTTCGTTGAATAATTCCAAGGTCATAGGGATGTCGGTATTTGGCAAGGGGTGATCGATTGTTTCGTCTTCTGTCAACATGGGGATTGGAATGTCCGTCTGATCCTGAGAAAAAAGGGATAATGTCATGGTTGATATCGGTCATGTGAGTTCACCGATATGTCAAGGTCAGAGCTAGTTCTCGGGCTTCTTGTTGATCTCCATAATGAGTCCCTTCTCCTTCTATCGTGGGAAACTTTAATGCGTATTGGAAAATGGATATTGCAGCATGATGTTTATAGATAGCAGTTCGGCATACAATAGCATTGTATTCATTCTAGATGTCCATGACTTTGAATGTGTCCATGATAATCTTGGACTTCGGTCCAAAACCGCCGAACCGAATAAGAAGTTAGATTTCACCAATGGGATAAGCGACGCTCCCGTTAAATCCTTGAATTTGATCGTTGCATGGTCTCATATCAGCAGGATCCAATTCCATCTTCTTGAAAGTTCGCAGCATAAAAATGCTAGAATAGGCCCCAGGATCAAACATAATCCTATGTACTGGGATTCCTCCAATTGGGGCAGTGATAATGAGGGCATCAAAATGTGGGTGAGCGAATAAACTTTCATGTTCTATATTAAACGTGATGGGACGATTTCGGGTATTAATAATATCGCGGAAGTCAACATTCAGTACACGCTTCCCGGAATTTTGAGCTTCTCTAGCATATGCTTTGACTTCACGCCGGGAGGTGCCAAGTTGTTTAGTGTTAGTATTCACCCGAGGTATTGAACCATGGTGTGAAAACCTCAGTGATAAGCTCAGCTTCATTTTCTTGTTCTCCGCGTGTGATGTCTCAGATGTTTTGGAGGAAAAGGTACATATTCGCGCCTCGGTCATCATTGCCTTCTTCGTCCGATGTATCAGTTGGTCTCCCCTTATGTCGGGCATCAAGATTTCTAAACTTTTGGAGTTGAGGCTTTCCAATTAACTAAAGAAGAGCCGATAACAAACCAAGATACTCGTCGGTATTATGACCCGGCGACTTATGATATGCGCACTACCTTGATTTGTCGAGTTTATCTTCAGGGGTTCTGACAGGTTTCGGGTCAAGAATTATACCTTTCCCCTTTAGTTCTTCAATAATGGTTGCTGCTCCTGCTGAATAGACGGTTTGATAACATGTCCTCACGTATTCAGCGTACTGATCACGAGCGGCTCTCGACTCTGAGTTGTTTGCACTTCCCTTTGGGTAACCTCGGAATTGGGCCTTTCTGGAGTTCCTAGCGAAACTCTTTTTCTTCTTCTTATTCTCGGAATCGGATTTAACTTCTTTAGTGGAAAAATCAAAATTGGGTACCGACATGGATTCCTTGGTAATGATAAACTGCTGAGCTCGTACGAGAAATTCTTGAAATGTACTCGGTTTGTTTTGGCACAAAGTCCATCGAAATACTGAGATTGGTCTTAAACCAGCTATAGAAGTGACTAACAATGTCTCGGGGTGGCAAGGCTCCATGTTCTGAGTCTGTTCATTAAACTAAGACACATAATCTTTTACACTCTCTTCTTTTTTTTTTGCACAATATTAGTAATTGATGATTTCGGGATGAGGCAAACCTGGGCGCCAATGAAGTGAGACCGGAAAGTTGTTCTCAATTTTTGCCATTTCAAAATTGAATGAGGGGGTAGTGTGTTGTACCATTTCTGAGCACGTGGCCCCAATGTGAGTGAGAACATGTGGCAACGTAAAGCATCTGACGCGCCATGCAGGTCCATCCAAGACGTATAATAACCCAAGTGAGCGTCTGGATCCGAGGTCCCGTCATAAAGACCAATTTGTGGGATTTTAATTTTGGCAGGAAGTATTTTGGCAGTAAGTTCTGGGGCCAAAGGAGAATCAGCTTCTACAATTACGTTGTAATATCCCATTCAGTAATTAATAAAAATAATTATTTTAGTTTCGAGTTTGAA